AGTAGACATCATAAGCTTCCAAACAAAAAAAAATTTATTTAAATTGGAGCATTTTTTACGGAGATATTAGCATTTGAATTAGGCCACGCCCCTTTTTCTACTCATGTATGTGCTGAAGTCAGTAGTTGACTGCAGACGGATTTTTAGTTTCGGTTTAAGCTAAAAGCTAATTATAGCAGATAATCTTTAAATTATTTAATTTTTAAATTGCATCTGTCTTACTAAAAGTGGCAGCATATTGTCCTAGTTGATGGATTGATTTTGTTTATGCTTTTATTTGGTTTAATGACCCTGTTATTGTTGTTATTAATCGTGTAGTTCTCCAATTTTTTCAAAACAGCTTTTTTCAAAGCTACTATTTTGTTTTATCTTATTTTGTTTTTGTTACGTTATTAATTATTTCATATTGTTTCATTACGCTTCTCTTTGTTTAATTACAATAGCAATAACTGCTGCAGTTAGCGAGTAAAAGTAAAAAAAATAAAAATGAATGCAGTTTATCATATGCTACTGGCGGATTTTAAATTTTATGTGTACGTCAAAGTGTGGGAATTTAGAGAATTTGCTAAAAATATTTTGTTTGTGTTTCCTTTTATAATGTTTGTTATGTTATTGCAGAATATCATACCTAAGGATTTTTTTTACAACTCTTTTACCTTATTGCGAAATTATATATTTTGAAAGTAGAAAAGATCGAATAATTTTTGTGATTTTTTACTATATTTAAAATTAATTTTATTACTCTTGATTAGTGATGTACAAGTTCAGTATATATACTGTCATAAATCATCATTTCATTTAACAAATTTTTAAAAAAAATAAAATAATTGTGCATTTTTCAACAATTGTTTTGATTTTTTCAATGTAAATATCACATTCTCGTCATCATTAGTTTCTGATATCTAATAGCATATTTTGCCAAATTAATGTATAAATAGTTGGTTATTATATAAAAAAGCATATTAATTATTAATTTACGTGAAAATTTACAAAATATTTGACAATATTATTCTTAATTTGCTTTTTTAATACAAAAACTTGTTTTTCTCAAAACGAAAATTTTGTTTCGAACTAGAAATTGAAACAGTTCCATGCGACGTAATTTTGATGACTATTGCATGTGTGACATCAAGTCACAAGTTTAAGTTAATTTCCGCACAATTTCGTTAATTCCTGTTACAAATCCTTATTTCCTGATATAATTTCTCTCGCCCCTTAATCTATAGTGCAATGGGGACTTTCTCCCCCTGACTCTCCGTTTCACATTCCTTTAACCCCCTTTTTCTTAGAAAAAAAAGACACCTGTTTGCCGGTACCTTTGATGTCAGCGTGCCTTACTAGATAGGAGATGTGTTTCTTAACCGTAACGCTCGAAAAATAATTGTGGTAACATCTCAACTTTCTAAAAATAAGTAATTTAACTTTAACTTTAAGTTTTTGTATCTTATAAAAAGAAAGAGCGCGAATGACGATCGGAGGATTCGATATTTTGATCGTCAAACAATTTGCAGCCCTCCGCTTAACGGAGTTTTATATTTTTGCTCCCTCCTCCCTGAGGTGGAGAACCTTTTTGTTGGAAGAATGGCTTCCTTGCGCCATCCTTATTTTTTTCAAAATGGATTTTGGAATTTTCTATATTAGTCATTTTTAACATCCAACTCATGTGCTGCCATGCTATGACTTGATCTACGAAATGTTTTTTTTTTATGCTTAATCATGCAGCTCTTTTAATGTGAAAAAGAATTTGAATACGATTGTGAATGGAATTTATTTTGGACTGATCATGGATTTGCGACGACCATATGCAAATTGAGGCCACGCAGGCTAACTTTTCTCATCCACTTGTTGGACGATGAATGCTGATACAACCCCGCTCTGATGTCACCCGGTAGACCTGATACCTATCCACTCCTGTGTTTTGGTCTGAATGGAAACCACGAAACCAGACCTGATACCTATCCACTCCTGTGCTTTGGACCTATCCACTCCTGTGGTTTGGTATGAATGGAAACCACGAAACTCCCAGTCACTCCTGACCACTTCTCTAACCATCTGCCATACCTCCTGTTAGTTTGCTTTTGATGCCGCCACTAAGCTAAATATTCAATAAAACAAACTTTATTCATCAACACATGACTCTTTTTTTAGTGAACTCTTAGTTTCTTTAGATAAATGGGCCTACTCTCTCGATCAACATTTTAATAGGTATGTGTCTTTTTTTGTTTATATTCAGTGTTATTGGGTTAAACAACGCCTCTTATTATGTATTTCCACTGTCAGATCATGTGCCATAAATTTTAAGTTTATCCTTTTTTTAGTTTTTTTTATCCCTTCTTCAAAATGTTTTTTTAAGATTTAGTTTTTTTTTTGTTTAAATTTTTTTGCCAGCAGTTACCGGTACAGCATGAAACTTTTTTTTACACACTCTCTAGATCAATAAAAAAAACTTGTAGGGAAAAAATTCCTAAATAGTTTATCACAATATATTTTATGGTCATTTCAATGTTCCAAAATGCTCTTTGAGCGACGATTTTCATGTTTTTGTCTCCGAAACTTGGTTTTTCTACTCTGTATTGAAATTAGTGACAAAATGTGCAAATTTTTTCCCTACAATTTGAAGAGAAATGTAAATAGAGTTGAAATCAACAAATGATTTTTGAATTTAAGGAAAATTTTAGCGCAAGGAGCTAATTTAAACTTAAAAATAAATCGACAATTTTTAAAAAAAATTTTAAATTTTTCATGTTACAGAAAGAATTATGTGTCAAACTATTTTATTTTATGTTTTCTATCTAAATATAAACAATCCCTGCAAGTTATAGCACTGTAACATTATTTTTTAAGAAAAACTTGTTAAGAGTCCACTGTAGCCTAAGGCAACTATGAAATTGTACAAGGTGATAACAATCAAAATACAAAGATTAAAACACGAAAGCAGCTTAAAATCATGGTTGGTGAGCAACCAGGACATAAAACAAAGAAAAGCATTAAAAAATCGTTGTAAACAGTGTAACTAAATAGGAACATTAAAAGCTGGTAGGCAAAAGACAAAGATTAAAACACGAAAGCAGATTAAAATCATGGTTGATGAAGATTAAAATTGAATATCACAAAAGATACCAATAAAACAGGTAAAATTTGGGATAAAAGAATAATGAAAAGCTAAAAGAAATAAATAGTCAGGATCGGAGACCGCTCTGGGAGACACAACAACTAAATTGTGTGCAGGGAGTTCATGGGGTCGTCTGGTGTAATGGTGTCCTCGAGCGGTCGCTTAATGATTTCTCTGATGATTTGCAATTGTTGTTTAGATTTACATCATGTCTCCATGAGTGCCCTTTTGTTAATGTGTCTACTACGGAATGTCAAGAATTTATTACATTCGACTATCAGGTGTTCGATCGTTTGTTTTTTTTCCACAGTATTTACAGCTGAAGCTTTTTAGTGTAGAATTGGTTTATATGAAAATCACTTGACAGCACTTTTTCGTTGATGTTTGGGTAAAATCTGTATGTGTCTCTCCCATTTGCTGAACCGTTCCATCTTTCCCGCCAAAGAGCTTTACTGACCTGCCGTAATTTATGATTGATTTTGGGTCTGGTAATTGAGTAGTGGTAGTCCACCCCACTGAGCAAAAAGGTACCTTCCTTCTCCAATGCGTCTCCTCCTCGTTGCCTAATTCCCCCGAGTGTGCTTTAATCCAATTGAATTGATAGTTTTTATTTTGTACCATGATTTCAATGTTTTCTGTTATGGGATCTTTAGGTGCTGGGTTCTCGAGGAACTGCAACGAGGATTTAGAATCTAAGTAAATCACCAAATCATTGATGTTTTCTTTTACAGCCCAGGAGATAGCTAATTTTATGACTTTTAGCTCAGCGGGGTAGACGCTTGATTCATCAATAATTCCAGCAGACTGTTGGTAAATAGTGTTGTTATTATACTTGACCAGGAGACCGCTACCTACTCTATATTCATATTCATTTGTTTCTATATTTAATACAAGCATTTCATTGCCGTCTGTGTAAATTTCATATCCAATTCCCCAATAATGTTTTTCCTCAGATTTTCGTCAACTCCAGGATTCGGCATCTTACAATTGAATGGAGTATTATGCAACCTTTTAAGAGTCTTTATTAACTTTATATTATTAAACCTATGGCTTTTGAAAAATTGTAGAGACTCCTAAAGCATCTGAGTTCATAATTTCTTTCATCTGATTTTTGCCAACTCCAGGATTCGCCATCATACAATTGAATGGAGGGTTCTGTAACCTTTCAAAAGTTTTTTTTATAACATTATACTTAAGTCTTTCAAAAATTGTAGCGATTACAAACGCATTATATGATTTTCCTGATTTTTTTTGATCTTTTTTATTTCTTTCATTTCATATTTAGGTTACCCAGAGTAGGCAATTCATTTGGTATCTCGGAATTCATTCTCTGCTCCTTTAAGGATGCGCAATTTTCAAAATACGTATTTTGCTTCAGTTCCTCCGAATTTCCATGATGTTTGCCTCTCAGTTTGCAAATCATTTGTAAAGATTTTATCGTCGCTGGCTACTGTACCTTTCAGTTTTATAAATAATAGTCGTTTATTGTATGAGTGTTCTCAGTTTTCAAATGGTTTTAAACTATAAATTTTGAAAATTTTGCTTCCAGCACTGTAGACAACGACGCACGAGCAAAATTATAAGGCGTATATATATAATACTTTAAAGTAAGTCACTACTTTCCAGTTAATTAGATTACCCAGCGTTGACAGTTTATTTGTGCCTCGGACTTTATTCGCTGCAACTTTGAAGATGAGCCATTTTCAAAACGCCCATTGTACTTCAGTTTCCCCGAAATTTCAAGAAATGTGTCGATCAGTTTGCAGATTATCTGCCGATTTTTTTTTATCGTCTCATACAGTTTTGCTAGTAATCTACTTTTTATTGCTAGAATGTTCTCAATTTCAAAATGATTGAAGTTATAAATTTTTATAATGTTTTTTTTCAGCCAGAGAGAGTAGCAATGATAATATCCGAAGACACGTATGTAAAATCAGTTTCTCACGAATATGTAATCCAGTGCAGAGATTACTTACGAGGAATATCAAATTCACTTTTAAAGGTTCCGAGCTATATGGATGAAGAGGAGGCGAACAAGAAAATTGTTGATGATGTGTTCGCAGAATTTTCCGAAGAAAATGTAAGTAGATGAAAGTGGAATATCTCTCTATTACATCATTCATTTAGGAACTAAAGTAAATGATGTAATAAAGATAGTTTACTTTTCTTTCCATCCTTTCCCCTTTGCGAAAGCGTGTGCCCAGGTTGGAGACTGCTCAGTGATGACCTCTTTAAATGATTGATCATTAAAGAGGATTATTTTAGATAGAGCTTAAATGATCATTTGATGAAGGAGACGAGATAAGGACTAATTCACGATCGGAGTGATCGAGTACGCCATCTGGGGAGAAGATCGGTTCCATGTCTTGACCTTCCTCCCTACTCTGTCCTCCTTTTCTCAGTTGTCCAGGAATTATTTTCCCCCTTCGTTATTTTTTCGTATTTAATTGGCACATATATATATATTTTTAAATTCCCAAGACGATTTTTTTATAAACTATGTTCAATCTAGTTTTCAGTTCCATGTAGTTTCCTATCTAAAAAGTCTTTAATCTATTTGAAGATAAAGACATAAACTAACTTACTTCCTTCTCCCATGACTCTCCACACGCTAATGGCAAAAGCATGCAAAGTGTTGTCATGGATAGTTTTGCTCTATGCCACCTGTACTTTTTTCGCATATGGATCGCCATCTCAATGCATGCGAAAAATTCGCGTATGCAAATTCAAAGATGTGAATGAGAACTTTATTGGTAAAACATATTTCTCCGCGGTAAACTCGCTAATTAGGATCTCTTTCGCATCTCCGAATTCGCATACAGGAGTTTTTTTTAATACAGTTAGAATTGTTCGTAAAATCTTTCTATTTTCGTAAGTGGTTACGCGTTAACAAGACCGACTTTATTAACGCTAAACATGAAATTCTATCACAAATATTCTTGATGGCTATGATTCAAATTATGTGGCATCATTTTTGAACAGACCCATAATTTACTGTAGGAACACCCTGAATAGAATTGACTTTTGCGTAACACTGCTGGAATTTAAAAGCATATTTTTTTAGTTTTAATCAGTATTTTGTAGTAAACACACGATTTAAAGGTGTTAAATTTATTGTCATGTGTTAAATTGATTTAAATTTAAAATAGTAGTAATAAATTCTTTTTTAAGAGACCATTTCAAAACTTGAAACCTTGCACCAGAAAGGTTTTGGGTTCAAATCTCGGACAAGGCATGGATGTCCTTTCTTTCTCTGTATTATCTGTTCCTATTGTGGGAGGAATGTGGCCCACCTAATATGGTACCCATGAAAGAGTGGCCAATAAATCCGTCCTTATAAGCGCCTAAATTGACGAATGGCAACCCATTTGTGAATTGGAAAAAAATATTTCCTATAAAAAGTCATGTGTAATCCACAAATGTTTCTATAAAGTATTGACGTCCGCTTTATTTTCGTCGCTACTTTTCAAAATGAGATTTAGATCCGTGGTAACCTTGTATAAAGAAATTATAATTTGTTTTATGCAAAAATGGTTGAATTAAATTAGTAATATATTGTATGCAAATTAATATATTTTTTTTATGTCTTTGTTCAATTAAAGAAAAAAAGAATTTCTAAAGATAGATTATACAAACTACATTATCCATTCAAAAGAGATGCTGATGGGCGATACACGGCTAATTTTGACGAGCAGTCACTCTATCGAAGCTTTAGTGATCCTGCCAGTTTTCTTCTAGACCCTGTTGGCTCATATGAAGGACCTGCTGTATTTTTAGTTGGGACTAAATCTTTCATGAATCTGTAAGTACATTGTTGACCACTTTTATTTAACTTTTTATGGATGACTGATAGTGTAAAGCGAACCACAGATGGCGCTAGGGGTGAAAATGTGTCGTAAGACTTTCCGTTTACCATTTTTGATTGATTTTTACGCCTGAGTTTGAAAAAGCGTGCCATTTTATATTATTATACTTGTAGTGTTTGCAACATAACGCTTTCTTTCAGTTTGAATTTCAACGAAAAAAACAACAACAAATGAATTTGGAAGACTCAGCAGTCATGATGTGATGCTATACAAAAAAGAACCAAAGTCAATATTTTACATTAATATAGCCTATAAGGGATAATGCTCAAAACATGGCAAACCTTACACTTTATTTATATTGTAACATTAATTTTCTTAAATGTGTTTTAGGCGCGCGACCTGTTAGAATTTATATTACAGAAAACTCTAATGAATGTGAAAATAACGGGTAAATTTAAAAACAAATCACAATAATAAACTTACTAGAACATTAAGCCTGTTCACACAGCACTGCGTAAGCGTAACATAAGCGGAGGAATACACATCTACAGATACACTATTTCAAAGCATTAAAAAAAGAATCTAATAAATGTCACATTTGATGCTGTAATTCAGATTCTGAAATTTTCCGATTTCAAAACCTGTTTTCTTACAGCTCGATGCAAATGAAAATTGAATACTTTTTTGGTTTAATTTCTCGTTTTAAAGATATTTTCATAATAAAACCAACTAAAATTAATACCAACTAATGATACTAACTAACTAATAATACTAACTAAAGAAACGTCGCATCCATATCTAACTTGTTGAATGTTACGCGATACCGAAAAAAAAAAAAACATAAGCGCTCAGCTGTTTGGCAATTGACGAGAACGCTCCTTTAACCCCAATGGAGATTTTCGCAATGGAGATTCCTTTTCAATCTACGGTATGATTTGGCAATTCGCACGCTGTCATCAGTTTTTGAATGTTTTTACTCCATTGATAATTAATTTTTACTATGTTTTTAGGAGGAGCCACATGCCTCACATTAGAGGACATTTTCCAAACGTGGAATTCATTGAATTCGAAGGAGGTCACAGTCTGCATACACAGTTCAGAGAGGAAACGGCTGATACAGTTGTGCAAGCCTTGAATAAATATAATATCTCATGATTCCTTATGATTGTTACAATAAAGTTATATTAGCGAGTTATATAGTGCGAGTCTATTATCGCGATGTTATGCAGCATTCTCCCTGCTTACGATTTTCCTATGCGATCGCACATCAATGCGATTCACGCATAAGTCTCACATGTAGCTTCGAAACAATTCCATGCGCGTCTAAGGTGATGGGAGATAATTACTGATTATGCCAACCTTCATCTATCCAAAGGTACCTGTAGATAGAATTAAGTTAAAATGTCTTATATACTAGTGAATGGGTATTTAATACTTATAGTGTTAGTTACGCCATATTACTCACCTTCCAGAATTTCATCTGTGATAGAATTCGATGAATGAATACCAATGTGCTGTTGTGGCAGTTGGTGTTAATTGCTGAAAATGACTTCGTAATTGTGAAATGAATTCATAATTAGATGTAGTTGGCTTTGCGTTTCAAACATCTCGCATGGCAGGCGTAACGGAGATCCATACATGAGTTCAGCTGAGGAGGAGTTTAAGACTTCGTTGATGGCTGTTCTTATTTCCAATAAGACTACTAGAATTGTCTCGTGCCACCGGTCATTTCCGGGAGCTTTTAGTGTGTTTAATAGTTTAGTACTTAAGATATCTGTGGTATCATTCTACGATTCCGTTGGAAAAGGAATGATATGCCATAGTTCGTATTTAAGTCGTCTCTAATAAGTCTGACAACGCACTGAATAACTCCGATTCGAACTGTGCTCCTCGATCGGTTGTCATGACTGATGGACAACCAAATCAACTTATCCAAGCTATAAAAGAACAACAACATGCAGATGGTTTCTGCTTTTTGGTCAGGAATTGGTCTCTCATTGTCAGAATATAATTGAAACCACCAGAGGGAGATAGAGATCCGAAAATATCTATATGGGCGTGGGAAAAGCATCTATTAGGATGAGAAAATGTTCCAAGAGGTATTTTAGTAAATCTTTGAATGATCTAATATGGATAATCAACTAATTATTCTATAATGGTGACCTCAAGCATAACATGCATAAAAATCGAAAGTAAGCTATACATTGTAGTTTCAGAAACATGGGAAAATTTTCCAAAAAAGGGCTATTCTACATTATGCAAATTGAAAGGAATCTACATAAGACTGAAACAGATAAGGGCTTTTGGATCATTATTTATTCAATCAAATTATTTTTGCACTTAAAAGGCTTTAGATAACAATATTGTTCTAAATGTTACGTTGTTCTAAATGCCGAGTATTGTGTTCTTAACGATTAAGAATGTCAATTCATTTATTTTTATTCATTGTCTGAGTAAATATTTTAGTTTCTTTGATTAAGTAATGTTATATGTAATTTTAATTACAAATTTGGAATTTATTACTTTTCTCCTAATGTCATTTAAATCATTGTTAGCAAATATTTAGCAATTCGTTTTTGAAGATCATCGACTCTGTCAACCTTCATCTATCAAAAGGTACCTCTGGAATAAAGCAAGTTAACATGAATTCGTATTTAATATTTCCAGAGGTAGGTTCGCCACAAAGACAATCGCATGCAGCGTGAATAGCCCCTTCACAGCATGATGAGAGTCACGTGCAGTAAGTTAACTGCTCTCGCAACAGCGAATGGCATTAAGGAGGAATTGCATATTCTCTATCGCAAATCTAATCTTACTTCCTGCACCTTCGTCAGACCAGGCGTCATGGCGTCGACTGTTTATTGCCGTCATCTAGCCTTTTCCCCTCGTTGTTTGCTTTTCCTATTCTCTCTCTCAGAACCAGATCTTAACCAACTTTCGCCAAGCTTCTCAGGTATAGTCTGTCCTCATCTAATAACTGCTGATATGATACTATTAAAATGTTCGGCGTCATTATTCTCGTCCGCCTGTGAGCAATCACCTCTGAACAATACTTTGAACAGAACTTAGTCCTTTTACCTCATCACTCATAGATATCTCACACACAACCAAATTTCAATTCTTAAAGGCTGTCCCTCTATTAACGTATCATTAAACTGTTTTCCTGTAAAGTGCTCGATTTCGTGCACAGGACATCGGGCTATCAAAGTAGGGGAGTCATCCCCTCCCCAAAGGATAAAAATTGGGGTAATATGTATTCATATCATCCTCAGGAATGTTTCCCAGACCATTGTTCAACTCTCTTGTGACGTAAAGTACTACTATAGAATGCATCCACTTATCCGGATCTGCATCTTTTCAGTAATTCGTATGAATACTGGTTCCTTTGTTAACGACATTAGTTCTTCACTACTTTTGCATAGAAATGCATTTTACCCTGATTTGCCTATCTCGGCCACAGCGGCTTCTCATGCTCTGTTTTTCATCTTTTTTCTCTTCTTTCGGTTACTGCGGTTTTTCTTGTCTTGTTTCTCACCTTCATTTTTCATCCCGCAGTGAACTAATCGTAAAGACATGGTTTCCTGTAGAACACCTAAATCAAGCATCACTAACTGCTGTCCGTAAGCGGGTGGGTGACCACTTTGATCAGTTTGCGTAGGGACCAAGGCTGCGTGGTTTCGGTCTTCGTTAAACTGTTCTACCTTATTGCGTTCGACTTCGCACTCTGGTCATCGGGTAGCCAAAGAAAGGGAGCCATCCCCCCTGCAGAGGATCAAAATTGCGATGGCATGTCTTCGGGTTATCCTCAGGGATGTTTCCCAAACCGTTGCCCATAGCCCATTGTGCAGCTCTAGTGCGACGTAAATTGTTCCTACCTACTAACTTTATTTTTCCATTTTTCGTTATTTCAAATCACATTTGTTTCTACTCATTCACGTCTGGCAAGTCTTGAAAATGGGTCCTTGTTTTTGAGCATTTGAAACATGTCGATTGTTATTTCCACTTGTATATTTATGAAGCGAATGATTGTTGTTGCGGTCATTTACGTCGCACTAGATCTGTACAATGAGCTGTTGGTGACGGTTTGGGTAACATCCCTGAGGATGATCTGAAGACATGTCATCACAATTTTGACGACTGCATTCGAAATCGGGCACTTTACGGTAGAACAGCTTAACGAGGACCAATACTGCACATTCTCTGACTATACGCAGACTGATCCAAGTGGTCACCCTACAGCACCGTGATGGCTCAGGGTATAGAGCGTTCGCCCTCTAATTAGCTGGCTTCCCAGCGATGGCTGGTGGATACAAATTCCGCATCCGGCTTTCACCGACTGCAGTGCTGACGTGAAATATCCTCAGTAGGAGACGGATCATGGGGTAGAGTGCGCTTGCAGTCAGGAGAACCGTGGGAGGCTCTCGTAGTCTCCCTTTCCATGTAACGTTCCATCAAAAAGTCCTCAAAGAAGGCAAATATTTCTCCCAATACTTGATCCAGGAGTTTCCTTGTCTACTAGATTAGGTTCAAAATTACAAGACTACGTTGTTGATCATTAATAGTCGCAAACCCAACAATTGGGTCGGCTGTTCAACGTCAGTTGTATAAAATGAAATGTATATTATATATTTGAAACTTGGATCTTGCAGCACAACTATGCTGAGATTTGGGACTGTTTTCCTCCGTTTGGGGACTACAGCTCTCCTTACGAAAATTTAAGGTATATTTAAGGTTGATTTGAGGTATTAAGGTTGTTTTGAGGTATATTTAAGGTAGCAGAGAAAACAGCAATAAAAATTATACCTTGTAAAGGTCGTAATTAAGGTGTACGAGGTTGATTTACATATACTTCAGCTTGTTTTGAAGTTGTTTAAAATTCACTTCAAATCATCCAGACTGATAAGGTGATTTTTAAGGTATGCCAGGTTTATTTTCTTACACTTGTAACAAAAGAGGTATTTTTGAGGTATAAAAATTTTTACTTTATTTCAACTAACGAGAGTGAGGTATTTATTGAGGTATATGAAGTCATTTTATTTATACCTAAGCTCTATTTTGAGGTTGTTTTAGATTCACTTCAAATCATCCAGACTGATAAGGTGATTTTTAAGGTATACGAGGTTGTTTTTTTTACACTTGTAACAAAAGAGGTATTTATGAGGTATAAAAAAATCAACCTTATTTCAACTAACGAGAGTGATGTATTTTTTGAGGTGTATGAAGTCATTTTATTTATACCTAAGCTTGTTTTAAGGTTGTTTCAAGTACACTTCATATTAACTAGCTCACTTCCCAGAGTTCCATGCGAATCGGTAAATGGCGTGTGTGCTGACAATCAAAAGTCTATTTGAAATTCGGTAAGTGTGCTTGACATTTATTAATTTAGTTTTATCACTTTTAATCGAATGTGTTTCAACTTTCAAACTTAAATTTTATTATTTTTGTTTTAACCATGCGACCTGATCTTAAATAATTTAAGTTGGAGGATATTCTTAGAGGCTATCGTTGTAGACTTAACAATAAGAGAGAATAACCGAAATATTTTTCGTCGCTGTTTAGGGTAACGTTACTAGTGAATCGTTACAGCAGGTTATGCACAGTATATTTTATTGTTTGTAATTTATTCAAATAGAACTATTCTCTTTATTTTGCTTAAATGTATATGTTTTAACGTAGCAGTATGCACGTTGATTAATTGAGAAAAATTTTCATAATTTCTCTTATAAATATGTCATTGAAAATTGAAAGATTTTTAAAATAGCAATTTTGATTTGAAATACTACTATAGCTGTATACTTATCGTTTGGATATTTGTTGCAAAGTTTATATTGTTTATATATATATATACAAAGTTTATATATATATATATATATATATATATTTACAGAGCTTATCCACAGTTCCCTGATATTACTGAGATGGCCTAGGCTGTAAATAGCACATGCGCGGCGGCGCAGAAGAAGAGACAAGCAAGCTACTGCTCAGCCTTCCCCTAGGATATAGTTCTGAATTTATACCTAAAAGAAAAAGTAATCTCTCCTAATAAACTACAGAATTTATGTAATTGTTGATAACAATAGTTTGCTAGATATTTGATAATTGAAAACTAGTAACTGTACTAGCTCACTTCTTCATGTTTGATCACAAAACTGCTATTTTCACTACATGTTATTTTCTCGCATTTTACCCACGTTAATTATTTACTAAGCAGATTGTTATTACTTATTAGAATATTGGGCAGAATGAAATTAAATCCGATTTCAAGTTTATATGACAATTTGTTTCAAGGTTATGAGCTTTTTCATGCAGCTGTTTATGGTTCACTACTTCAAAAATGTGCGAATTTCGGAAATCTTAAATATTTTAGAA